TACTGGGTATATATCCAAAAGCATTAAAATCAGGATCTCAAAGAGATATTTCCATAATCATGTTTATTGCAGCACTCATGTAGCCAAGAGGGGGAAGCAACCCAAGTGTTCATTAATGGATGGAAGGATAAGGAAAATGTGGCATATACATGCAGTGAAATATTATTAGCCTTTATGAAGAAAGAAAACCTGTCACATGTTACAAGGATGAATCTTGAGTACATACTGCTAAATAAAATGAACCAATCACAAAACAGAGAAGGGTCTACAGTTCATGTAGACTGAATCTGCACCGTGGAGGAGAGTACTCAGCACGTCTGTCACTGTTCTGGAAGGAAGGTATGTGAAAGTCGAGCATGATCATCCCCAGCCAATTTTGAGGCCCTTCTCTGCACAGGAATCTGGCTCCCCAATAAAAACAACTTCTGAATGCTCCTGAAATTGTGCCGCTGGGGTTCCTTGAAGTGTGTTCCTTGAAACTAGAGTTCTTGATGGCTTATCTAATTTTTTGGACTAACCCTCATATTTATCTGGGCAATTCAGAGACCAATCTCCTCTCCTATAATCTATGTTAATCTTCTCTGCCTGTTAAACTTCCTAGGGAGGGGTTCATGCCTATCAAGCTCCTCTTGGAGCACTGAGTTCCTTTTAGGCAAATAGAGGGAGCTCAGGGAAAGTCTCCACTTGCATCCAATGTTCCCCAAGTGTCCTCAGCTGAAAGGAGTCAGCATCCCAAAATGCCGCGCTGTGGGATGGCATTTCCTACTTTAGGGAATAGAACTTGCCAGGAGCACCCCTAGTCCTGAGACAGATGCTTGTACTAATGCAAATTTCCTGTATAGATATAAATGCCTTTTATGAAAGGACAGCTTTTCAGAGCTACTCCTGAGTCTGCAGCTTCTCAGAATAATTAGCTCCAAACATGCCCATGGAGATTGTATTGGGGTGGCTTATTCTAGTCTCCTGTAGTTGTGTTTTGAGATGTAAAGTCCTGAGCTTCATCATGGGCTTCCTGAGACACCCAAGGGAGTATTCTGTGGCTTCCCTTGCCTTCTATTCATATACCCCATTCTGTCTCACTTCCATTGGAATATCCACATTTTAAGAAGACAATGACTTCACAGGTAATCCTAAGCCATTTGGGCACTGGAGTGGATACCTTCTGAAATTAACATTTTCTCTAGAACAGTGAATATCTAACAGAAGTGTAGAGGCTGGGCCTGAAGATGCCCTGTGGGTAACGAAAAGCAAGATAAAGCGTGGCATCTCTGCCTTCATTTTATGGCTTTATTACTCTTAAGACTTTGGGTCAGATCCCTGCTCAGCTCTGCATATAGGAATGGTAATCACTGAAGAAACATCTGTCTAAAAACTGTAATACAAGGTTTATTAGCCCTAAATTTACCTGACTATCTCATCTTCCTTGAGACTGAAGACACCGACCTAATATAAGAACAACTAGCTTCTTTTCATGGCTCACAAGAATATTAACAGGCGCTTTTCCAGTGTCCTGATCCAGATCCCCGAGAGCGCATGCAGAAGTCTCCAGTCGCTGTGCTAACCCTGCCATCACGCTGGATTCCAGAGAAACAGAACCTTACAGACTGATGATCCCATGGCGAGATGACAAGCACCCCATGATGGAACTGGCACTGCCCCTGAGCGGGAATAATCATCTCATGGGAACTGATTGACCCCTTAAGCCATAAGGACGTCTCGAGTCCTTCACAGAACCAGTCCTGAGACACTAATTAACCACACCATGGCTTGACCAGGACTACCTGCCCTGCCAGCTAAGTGCACCCCAGAGGAACTGGTCTGTGGAGCCACACTGCTAGTGCGCTTCTGAAACCCTTGCTTCTCTCTGGGCAGGGGAATGCTGAGTTCAGGAACTTACCCTGTTTTCAGTGACTCAGGACAGGTCACCTCTCTGGGCCCCAGGAAATTCACCAATAAACTATAAACCACCCTGTGGTACTGTTAATTCATTCTTCTGCAACAAAAATAACAAAGTTAGCAATTGATAATTATAGGAAGGAGGACAGAGAGCCTGGTCAGTTTGACAAGAGGAAAGAGAGAAATATATTCTATTTGAGTTTGTTTTTAGTACTGGGGACTGGACCCAGGGTCTTGTATATGCTAGGCAAGAACTTTACCATTTTGCTCCATCTTCAGTATTTTTCAATTCTATTTTGAAATGGCTCTTCACTAAGTTGCCCAGGCTGACCTTGAACTTGAAACCTTCCTGTCTCAGCCTCTTAAGTAGCTGGAATTACAGGCATGAGCACCACACCTAACCATTTGTTTTTGTTTTTTAACTTTAAGGAGGGCAAGTGTACAGTTCTGACGTAGGACTGAAGAATAAAGACGGGTAGAAAGGAGACAAGGAAAATCATAACTAAAAATTGTATTTTTAAGAAATGCAATGTCTAGGACTCAGTCCAGGTTATGCAAGGCTGTTCATATTGGTATTCCCTTGGTTAATCTAGGCTCCTTTCCTGTGAAACCTACCATACTCAAAATTCCTCAAGAATATTTTAAGACCATGATTTGGCTTGGTTGAGAAAGTAAAGAGTAAGACCCTAATCTTAAGATAAAGGAACAGGTTGATAAAATTCAAACATTGCTTAAGTTAACCATCATGGGACTAGGGATTTAGCTCAGCAGCACAGCACCTGCCTGGCAAGTGCAAGGTCCTGAGTTCGATTCTTGGAACTTCCCCCAAAGTTAACCACCTTAAAAAATAAAAACAACTGGGCTCATATCTGTAAAATGGGCCAGTGCCCTTTTGGGCAGTGGGGCATCTTTTCCATAGGTCTTTGTTCCTCATGAGAACCATAAATGTTCCTAATTCCAGAAGATAGAGCACCTCTCCCTCTCTCCTGAGTGCCTCACTCTTTTTCTTTGAGTGCATACTTTTAAAATTCTGCCTAATAAATTCTTCCTGTGCCTCTTATTCCCTGATGGGAGTCAGTGGCCCTGTGAGCTTATTCTGCAGGAAGAGCAGCTTTAGGTTACCCATCTCTGCCTCAGGCACCTCCTCGGACCCTGTCCAGTTCAAGCCTCTCAAAAGAGAAGAGCATTTATTACTTTTGCTGTGCGGCTCACTTTTCTTATTCCATCTTTAGCCTGGCTTAGGCCATGAACAGGATGGAGAGAGGCAACAAGGTAAAATTCTGTTTCACTGTATGCACCCTGGTATAAACTTCCCTCTGAGCCCCTCTGCAGATAAAGGGGATTAACTCCATTCCGTGGCTCACTGTGGACCCAGTAGCCTGCAAGTCAACAACTACACCCAGTCAGTGATGGGTAAAGTGAAGATGAAGTGTCGTTGTTTCTTTGTGTCCAGCAGTCATTGGAGTCTCAGGGTCACCTCTCCAAGGCAAGTTCCCGGGAGGTCCCGCCTGCTACCTCCAGCCAGTGTCCAAGATGTTCCAAGATGGTCAGTGCTTTACAGTGTACCTAGGAGTTTGCTTTCATTCAGAAGCAAAAGGTCAGGAGCCAACTGGGATCCGATTGTTACAGTTCCAGGTAGAGGAGCACACCACCTCAGCAGGGCCACATGGGAAGCTCTGGGATTGATCAGAAGGCAGAGAAGGGAAGGGGAAAGTATAAACAGAAGTCTTCATTATTGTTCTTGCTGGAAGGAATGAGCATGGCAAATCGAACAGGCTCCAGATTGGCTAGTTTGAATAATTTCTGTGGGCCTGAGGCTGTAGGGGTATCTCGAGTTTTCTGGTACCTGGCCTGTGCTGAGTTAGGACACCGGAGGAGACTGCAGAGCCAGCCAGTAACCTCTTGCCAGGACTCCAGAAGGCTCTCATTTCCTCCCTCTTTTCAGCGCTCTGTCTCCAGTGACCACAAGGTTCAAAGAATTTGGGGAAGAATTGGCAGAGACCGGCCTTAAACCATTTGCAACCTTCCAGAAAACTGCAACTTTACTAGCAATCAAGTTTGGGTATGGGCTTCGAGGTTTTGAGGAAGTCTGGGGGAAAATGTCAATGACGTTTTTCCCATCAAGAGACAGGTCTTAGTGACTCAACCAGAGAGATGAGAGAGACAGAGAGAGAGAGAGGAGAGAGAGTGACAGAGCCAGAGAGAGAGAGAGCCTTAGGTACTTCAGCCTGGGTGATGCCAGAGCAGGAGTGATTGCCAAGGAGTGGGCACCAGCCAGGACGCGGCGGTGCTGCCTAACCGGGCACCGTGGGAGCCGAGGACAGGTTTTTGAGCTTGGCAACATGGAGAAAGAATCCATTAGTTTTATCTGGTTTTAAAAATCGCAAAGCCTGCCTGGCAAGCGCAAGGTCGTGAGTTCGGTTCCCGGTACCGGAGAAAAACCAAAAAAAAAAAAAAAAAAAAAAAAAAAAAAAATCGCAAAGATCCGGGGAAACTTATGAAGTGGTATGGAGGAAGTCTCCCCCAAGCAAATGTGTGAACCCTGGAAATCCTAAGCCAGATATGTCCTTCCACATAATCCACCCGAGATGTGCATTCTGCAGATGAGAAGTCTATGAGCCAGAGAAGGAGGGGTTGTCCAAGACCAAATTGCAGCTCGAGATTTGGGAATAGAAAGAAAGCCGTGGATGTAAGTTAGACGTCAGTCCCCTATTATAACTTCAGTACAAGTTCAGAGGCATATACCCTTCTTACTAAAAGATGCAGCACCTTATTTGGTGGCTTCTTTGCTCGCATTCACCTAAAGAAAACACCAGAAGCCGCAGACCTTGCAGCTTAAGGTTTAGGGCCACCAGACTCAAATTCTATGTCTCTGCTCAGGGATCTCAATATCAGGCCCAGGTCCTCCCCAGCCTTGTGCTTGGAGCACCCCCTAATGGCTACATTGACGTATGTACATGGTGTGATGGAAAGCTCGTGAATGTTTAAATTTTAAGTTTATTACAGTAAAAGACACATTGCCATTACTACCCCTCAAAATACTCCTTCCCGCTGTGAACATACTTATCCCATTGTCCTTGCCGCTTACTAAAGCATTTCTGGAGTCCTCTTTCGTATTTTCAGTTGCACTGTTGTGGCTGCTTCAGTGTCCTGAATTGACTCAAAGCCTTTGTTTTCACCCTCACTGGACCAGGAATCTCACGGTGCCAGATGCAGTGAAGAAGATGGATGAACACCACTGCACTGTTTTTGCAGCTTGCCTTTCGCTTGGATGACACTCCGCAGCTGCTTCACCTTGTAAGAAATGATCTTGTCCAGACATAGATACGAAAAGAAGGAGGAGGAGGAGCTGGAGGAGCAAGGGGAGAGGTAACTGGATTTCAGAGGCAGCAAAAACGAGCCTTGCAAGAGTGGTGGCTGTACACAGACACAGGCACACTCCCTTTGACAAGCTGTTTGCTTTTATTCCTAACTCTCAGGCGTCCCTGCCCCATCTCCAGTGCCGGATTGGGGTTCACAGTCTCTCTGGACCAATCTGCTTCACACTGTATGTGTGGTTCTCCGCTTCCCTTTTTATTCCCTCCTCCCTTTGTATTTCTTGTCTGTAGTTATTTTTAGCCTTTTGACTTCCCAGGATTTGGGAAGACTTGTTTGGAAATTTTTTTTGGAAAAAAAAATTGGAATTGGGAATCGAACTCAGGACCTTGTGCTTGCCAGGCAGGTGCTGTGCCACTAAGCTATATCCCCAGCCCGTTAGGAAGATTGTTTAGCAATTATCTTCTACCCCAGAACTTTAACTCTGGTGTGAGTCTTTCTATAGTCTGTGTGTCCTTGTCTGCTAGTTGACTGAGCTAAGTCTAAGAATAAGAGCTTATTAGATAGGTTTATTGTGGAGGACCACCTAGGTGACTCTTCTTGAAAGAGGAGCAATTAGCTCCATTTTGGCTGAGTCTGACCCTATTTCCATGCACTGATATGTACAGAGCTGGCTAGGACTTTTCCTTA